TAAACGTCATGGAAATCCGATCATTCATAGTAATGGGAATCAACTACAACAAACGAGGCCGAGTACACGCGGATGAATCTTCGATTAAATGACAGACATCGGAAACTAGTGATTCACGGCTACATACACACAAAACCACATAAATTTGAAGTTTGTTTTGTTAATTACTGCGTGCGGTTTCAACAAAGTTAGTTGTCATCAATTGACAAATGTCCGTTGAACGTCATCTATTAGGCTATATTTGTAATACTCGTGGAAGCAAAATATTTGTGACCAGAAATTGGCAAGTCAGCATCATTTTGCTCATCGAATCAGATAAGGATTTTTTTGTTTTAAACGGTGAGCAAATGTTTTTTTAGAAACAGATTAAGGTTTGGATATTTTGTTTACACCCTCTTTTTTTCTATAATAGCGGTATATGTATCTCTTTACCACATTACAAAAATCTTTTAAATATAAATATTAAATAGCTGAAGACTCTTTCTCCTACCCCATTGTAGATTCAATTAAGCATTGTTCACCGTTCACGACAAGAGTTCCTCATTTGAGTTGGTGATTACTAATTTTGTTAAACTTGAAAAATTTTGCCCACCAAATATTACTCACTACTAGTATTTACTTAATCTCTACCCGAGATGCACCATGGTCGGGTTGCCCTTGATATAAAGCGATGCGTTCCATGCAGGGGCGGATACAGGATTTTTTATGGGGGGGGGGGTCCAAACTTTAAAATCGCCAGACTAAGTTAATGATTTCTTTTATATTATACAAAAACAAATTGAATACACTTTTCAACGGGGGGTCCGGACCCCAAGAACCCCCCTAGATCCGCCACTGGTTCCGTGATGTGTTGCCACACGACCACATCCATCCTTGTGCACAGACGCACAAAGCCGAAGAGCAAAAGTATATAGTACATGTATTACCGAACTTTTGAACTATGGAACTAAAAATGAAACACATGATTTCATGAAAGAAGGGACAATTTAAAAAAGAAGTTATTAAAATATAATGCACGTGTTTTCATTGCTAGAAACGCCAAGATTAAATGTTTCGTAAAAGAAAAGGCACTGTATAAAAGAAGTCATTAACAAATGTACGTGGTTCCAGTCTAGTTTTTGAAACTACAAAGTTCAACGTGTAATCAGAAACTCCTACAAACATGAACTTGTTGACAAACTTAATATTTGACAAAGTAAAAAGATGGATTAATTTTTATTTGATCAATATTGAGTGATATCACTATTTAGTTAATTTACGTACAGCTTGAATATTCGTCCGTTTTTAGTAAAAAGAAATGTCTTGAACGTCTTTTATACCAATGTTACAAATTTCAACCTCGGCGCTGATAAAATATTTCATGGTCCTATACAAGGATTAAGTGTATTTTCAGTATTTTCGATGAAGTAAACCAGTCCTACTGAATCGGGAAATGATAATATTGTATTTACTAAACTTTACTTGGCACTTAAGAGTGGTCATGAAGAATTGAATCAATACATTTTGAAAATGTTTAAAACGTCGTTTTTATGTGGAGAATCGTAATATTTATTGTCCCTGGCAGCCTCGGAGACTGTTGTGTATAGTTCAAGAGTATCTGCACATAAACCAATAATTGAAATTAGTAGTCATTAGTAAAAGGTCATTAAAATTAAATTAAATAAGAGTATCATTTTTGCCCTGAATGTCTAGTACATCACGAAAATACAAACATGTTATGGGACCCCACAAATAGAAGTACTGGCATTCAAAGTTCATGGACCTAATGGGTTACTAAGTGCACTCACCATAGCATATGAATCCGGACACGCCAATGAAATGGGTAAATTGATTTCGTTTAGTGTAAAAGTGTGTTACTGCTGCTCACAATTTTAAATATATAAATATTTTAACATGCCGTTGAAATTATACGTACCCTGTTTGATCGTGATGATTTTGTTTAATGTTTTAAACAAGACACGTGAAATACAAAGAGTCGAGTTAATGAACTGACTCGAATTGAACATCACTGGGATATGTCCCGATATATAAACATTGGTAGTGGCTACTTTTCCTTCTAGGGATAGGCTGGGGTAATTGATTATGCGATGCTTTTGATTTGTTGCGTCTGTACCGATTTTCTTTGATGTAGTTGCCGATTCACACTTCGTATATTTTTACATGTCACCCGTGATGTACAAACGGCACAGATTCACTTTCACGTGGGAGACGGTCGGCCTATTTAAATTATACGCCCAGTAGAAGACGGCCATACAGATTCGGTGTTACATTTTTTCAAGTTTACAAGCATTATTTTAAGTTGCAAATTTCAGCATTTCAACATTTTCTGAGCAATTTTAAGTTCTTCAAAACAATTCCCCTGATTGCATACTGAGTCCCTCTATTTTTACTCTCCCCACCCTCAAAAGTAATGGAACAGCCCTTGCGTGCAAAAGCGAGTGCATTCGCACCTTCTCTTCACGCCTGGCTCGGGTGGCTACCACTATTACAAGGTGGGGGTTGCGTGACATGGACAACAGTCTGTCTATCATCGCTCGCCCTACTGGTGTAAACAAGACGACCAGATAACCGTCAATAAACAACCACTGCGAAGACGAAGTTGTGGAGTTGAGACGCTGAAGAATTCTGTCGGTGCACAAATACCAGCCGTGAAACGTTTAGATTACCCAAAGATGTCGGCGGCACCAACAAAGAGATGACTTGAATTTCTCAAACTGCTAGCCCAGTTATTTGTTTTATATCTGGGATCAGCCACCCTGGGAATCGCGGATGTCGTTGACACTTCAAACGCACTGGCGTTATGGATTTCGACTTATCATTTACTAGAAAAAACAGCACGCCATTTAATGCCGCTGTGAAAACCATTATTTTTTAACACATGTTCTACCGGATCACTGCTATTTACTATGTTTATTTTCTGTTTGTTGTTTGTTGTTGTGTGTGTATTTTTTTCGGCTCCGTCTCAGACCGGGGCATAAAGGGTTGGGATATAAGCTCTGTGATGTGGAACCAGGGATCGAGAAACGAGCCCACTGAAATACTAACATTTGATTCCAAATAAATTTGCACACTAAATACATGGTTTGGATCTTGTTACGAACCCGGCCCGCGGATAACCGTCAAAGTAGTCAATAACTAATTTGCCATGCAATATACGGGCGGGCAATAAACAGACTATGCGCCGTATATCTACATTTATCCGGCATATACTAGTACTTGAGAAACAGCTCAATTGTAACCGAAATACAGCATAATTATTATATCATATGGTAATACGATACATATTTTGATTATTGCTATACATTTCGTTAGAGCATGAAAGCAGGGCAAAAATCCGTGTTTTTGTGTATAATGGGACAAATGAAAACAATATGCGGCTCAAAGAAGCCGATGATCGAGATACTCAGAAAGCCGTTCATCATTCATCTTTCTAAGTTTAACCAATGAGTTTGTCAAATGTTCAAAGCCGGGACATGGAAATATCTGTTTGTGTTTTTTTGTTCTTCGGACAGATCGCCACTCTAGCCGCCACCTGTTCCTAGTCGGTCGCTGGACTGTAAGCATGACTTCCTTGCTCCGCCATTGTGTGAGGTCTCGCTTTGCGGCTTCGGAGGTCGACCCCTAAATGACTGGGATACTCAATCAACCGCTTGCGGCTGTCATCTCACAAACGCGGCAATCGCCGGTATTGTTTTATGATGATCCACTACTAACATTGAATGCCTCAAGACCTAATGTCTGAAACTCATCAATGAAACCTTCCAGACGTCATCTCATGAAGGCTTTCGGGTGTTTGAGCAAAACGCAACATATTTATTCTTCATGCAGCTTCTGCGATATTTTTTAAACAAGCGCGGTAATAAAACGACGATCTCCACTGAAAGCATCATCGTTCTCCCTAGACTGACTTATGCTACAGTCAATCGGCGAAGATGTGACGTATGTACTTATTTTTACGTGCATTACACCCTTGCCGGGAGATTATCGATGGTGTCTATACAGTTCCAACCAATGTCGATGTTTCGCAAATTCGGGTCTATAAATTTCACGTCTAGTATATTATAACGTGCAATATGTAGTAAACATAATCCTTCAATCGGTTTTGAACTTGAACGCATTATAGTTGAAATTGTACAAGACATCCTCTCTCGAAATTAGTCATCAATACACATTCTTGTTTGGTACCCTCTGTGTTTCTATCAAAATGAATCATTGTGACGTAACTGTTTTCTCTGAAATCAGTGGCGGATGCAGAATGCATTGTCGCAATGCGTTGTGGAATGTTATTTGTATGAGTAACAACGGTTTTTTGGGAGGCGCGTTCCCGCCCTCTGAATCCGGCACTGAAACTCATACAAGTCAGCGAACAGAGCAGGTCAGTGAATTTTTCCCAGTTGATTTTCAGCCAATGAAATTATTCTAAAAGGCTTAATCGATTTTTAACAGGGTTTTATTTTGTTTTGTATATGTAAAATTAGCAACAATGTTAATTTTTTCCTTCACTAACCCATTAAATCAGGAACCTAGTAAATACCCATGCAACACCAAAATATCTAAAATTAAATCCAGTGAAGAAAGGATAACAATGTTACTGATGTTCAAATTAAAAAAAAAGAGAGAAAACTTCAACAAATTCGTGTTTCTTTCAGCGAAAATATTATTTTCGATTTGTGAAAAACTAGGATTTAATTGTAGACACATTTGCGACCATGTTTCGAGCCCAAATACTCGACCTTATGCATAACCCTAAAGATCACTAAGTTGTTTTTTGTGTTTTTTTAAGTTCAAGTTCTTAAAAACAATTAAACATAACAAAAATGAACCATTGTAATGGAAATAACATAGAACAACATTTCCCCTAAAAGTTCCATACATCATGTCATGGTCACGAGAGCACGCACAACTTGGCTGCTTCAAATACGGTGAGCGCACAGGCGTGACCACGATGTTCAAGCACCTCCCACCAAAAAACATTTACAAACTACAAATACGAAATATAATCAACATTTAAATATTTTATTTATTTATTTATTCATCATTTTATATATATATAAGAAATTAGATCAAACACGTGATCATAAAATTAATCTATGGAGGTCATGTGATAAGAATGATAAATATTAGTTTCTGACAGGATTTGGGGACACATCTCTTATTTCTCTTCCTACAATGGTGTGTTATCCGTCAGGTAATTGTGAAATTGGTAGACGTTGATTTGACACGAGAAATCACGTGACATCAACTGAATTAGCTAAAAAAAAAGGGCTGATTCCAATTTTGCCTCCCCCCCCCCGAAATTTTCCCTCCGTCACTGCTTTACTAAAACTGCAAAGACAGTCACAGTGACGTATAAAAACAAGAAGAAAGTTTAAAAGTGGAAAATAATGTAGGTATTAGTTACATCTCGTTTTTAATGTACATGCGTTACCCTGTAATAATGTGCTATAATTCTCGTGTATTTGAGTCGGTCAAAATTCTAGAAATTGAAAAAAGTATTTTGTTAAGTTTTATAACTTTTTTTTTCATTTACATTTGTAAACTGTTAACTTGTCTATATGTAACCCTGTTATATACTAGTAACCCATAAGGCATGTGTATAATGATTTTGCACACGGTTTTGAAGATCGGAAAAAACTACAACTAAAAGTTTTATCAGTGACAATTTTAAGAAATTGTGGAAGTCAACTGGCGAATGTTACGAAAAAATAGTTCAAATTATGGAAAGTAAGAACCATGTGACATTCGGTAGATTAGTGAGAATACGACTTGAACGACTGATAATTCATAAAGCACGATTCGTAAACTTCTTAAAAACGTGTACAGCAGTTTCAATTGTGCCCTGACTGTCAGATAAAATAAAGACTAGTATACACGACCACCGATTCATGGTTATACTGCCCTCTTCACTGAACATGAAAGAGAAGACTTGTTGTTGGTAAACCAACAAATAAAATAACTACAAAATATATTGCTATTAACAATTGGGCAAGCATAAACATTTTAGTACTGCCGAACGCTGAAAAGTAAATACATTATAATAGATGAGTTCACGTGATGTACACGTGACAGCTAGGGCATCTCCTGGCTATAAAGTTAGCACCTGATATTTGGTTTGACTGTTATCGTAATGTCACCTTCAGATATGTTTATACGTGTAGTTGTATTCCGTTGTGGTTCATTCCAATATTTTTGGAAAACTCAGTATTAAATTAGTTTTTCTTTAAAGTTTCTGCTTTTTTAATACTCTGAGTTAAAATAGCGTATTCTCTCAATCCGGTGTCTCAATGTATGCAATGTACTAATATTCTTTTCAGAAACACCCTCTATTCCATGTATTGATAAAACAGTCACTGAAGGTACTGTTCTTGCCAGCTAAACAACACACAAACTGGACTTTGTTTCCGGCATTTAAACTTCAGTATTAGTTGGTCCTGGACCATTAAACATGGCGACGAGAATTCAATATGGACATTAGTAGCCTCGCATTCTCCAACAAGGACTTTGACCCCGCTTATCATCATCGTGTTCCATATTCCAGCGAGGTTTGTCCAAAATATCCGAGTCCATTGTATGCCGTCGCACTGCGATACGGAGTGTTTCTGTATTGCGATATATTCTGGGGGTACGGTGCTGTTCTATGCGTCGTCGGCGGTCGAAGGTAACAATTAGAAATGGGTCCATAATTATACTGGCTGTCATGGCGATAAGGTGCAAACCCCTGCTCTGCGCATGAGTTGTTTTGCGTGATTTGCATATTGAGTCCGCTGGTGTAGTCGGTGTTCATTGTGTTCATCGTGGTTGGTGCTGGAGGTGGCGGCGGTGGTAAAGCAGGTGGGCTTGGATTAAGATGGTTTAAGTTACCATGGTTATTGAGCATTGCACTTGAAACCGCGGTTGACATCGCTGACACTGTCGTTGCATTGACGATTGAGTCTCTTTCATCTTCTGACCGCCGATCTATGGAAGTACAGCAACAACAATGAAGTTATTTCTGGCATGCATTCGAGTATTAAACATTCAACAAAAATAACACTTCAAACTAAAGTTATGACGCGATTAATGTTCGTAAAATTATGTGTAATTTAAATTTGTGTTCAATATTCTTTACATCATACTTTATCTGGGTCAGAACTGTTTTCTCGTGAAAGGCAGAATCTGAAAACGGTGGTGAAGGGGTTTATAACAATAAATATAAGAAACTCATCACACCACTCGTCATAAATCATACCCATCCGCTGATCTCAACTCATCACAATTACTGTGGTGGTTATGTACATTTCACCAGTTCCAGAACGTGAAATTATTTGACTTATTTATTACAATTTAGAGCACTATAACTTTTTCGACAGATGACATGATTTGTTGAGATTTGATATGACATAACACTAATATCAGTTCACGGAAATAAATAGTGGCATTATTCCATTTACTATCACAAGGACATGGCAAAAACTGGTGACGATGTATAATCTATACTATTTGAATTTGTTCCAATTAGCAAATGTGAATTATGGGGTAGTTTTATACATATCCGATGGGATGATTTTACCAATGTCATGAATGGAAAGAGAAACACATGTGTTTTTACGGACAAATACATTACTCGCTCGAAACAGTAAAAGAAAATGTATTTTTTTTAAAGAATGAGTAGACCCAATACTGAAGTACAGCGTTCGCACAACGTAATAACTTGCGCACTTGAGGGGCTTCATTTCTTCTTTTGTTTTACACTGCATAAAGTATCTTTTTACTTCGACATGAATATATCGAATTGAGATTTTGAAACGCTTGTCGAATATAATGGGCTAAAACCGACGTCATCGTTAACACGGGAAAACATGTATTCGATTTCAAGGTCTCGTCACTATGCCATCAACTACTAACATCTCAATAGATATTACAACAGTATACGCCAACAAAACATCTTCTGCAGATATTATTAGGACACAGGCAACACTCCCTGACAGAAGGAATTGCATAATCACAGTAATCTGCATCGAATGCCCACCCTGCCCTATACCACCCCGCCCACAGGAATAATGCTAACTCTTACCTTGTTCGACGCCGTTGCATTGTCCCCTCGGTCTCGCAACTCCAACGATTTGTAATGAACTTGGACGATGGTGATTCCTTGGTCTAGTTCCGGGTTGACCGTGTGGCAATATTTCAACTAAACTGTGAAAAATAATAATAATAATATATATATATATATATATATATATATATATATATATATATATATTTATAACACAAAAATGATGAGGAATACTGAGGGCGAATGGCTAAAATACAGTTTATTCTTTAACTACTGCATTTCATGCCCAAAAACGACAGTGTGATCCTTATCTGAAATACGACAGTATATTTATTTGGACATGGCCTGTATTGTACTGCACTTTTCGCGGCATAAATTGATAGGTTAACTGTATAACAACTCGGCATTTGATACTTGGAAAGTGCGATAAAATAGCTTACCAGTCATCCGGGTCACTGTCACGGAACCCTTTGGCAAACGGATTGCTGGCGATTTTTAGCTGTGTTATCTGTAAGAAATTACAATGTCATAAGTGATGACGTCATCAATGTCGGAGGGCAAGGCGATTTCTTTGCTGCAAACTAAGTACATATCAGCACAGCTCTGTATTGATTTGACTTTGGGATCTAATTCCTTACCATAAATTCAAGTTTACGAATAAAAGTAGACAGTTGAACAAAATCTCTCGGTGACGAATGTGTGAAGAATGCCAGATGCGATTCCCACTTTCAACACACAGTTCACGCCCCCCGGGGTTCACGTGCGTCGTTCCAAATGTATACAACGCCACAATATTGCTAAAACATCAGACCTAAGCATGAAAATGACTCGTTTTGACCTCTGTGGCGAGTTTTGCCGATTACACATTCGGTTATATGAAGCAAAAACGTTTCCGCGTTTAACTTTGCATTCTCCAGGCATAGTTCCACGTACAGAGCAAGTGCCTGGCCACCAAACAAGGAATACCACTCATATTTCATAGATCAATATATCCAAACAACCGCACACATTATTTCAATATGCTTACAACTATTTGCGACTTTGTTTCTGAGTAAACAATAAACGCAGGTCCAATGTAAGACACTCTCATAAAACGTGACTTCGTCTACTAGCAGGCGACACACAGTGAACCCGGGGCAAGAATGTAGCTCACTTGTGGCTCAGGCCCCCTCTATAAATTTGATTAAAAGGTATGCCATATTCTGTTGAGAGTACCAGAGAGCTTTGTGTTGTAAGGGTTGATGAAGAGGGGTGTTTTTTTTTTCACTCCTCACAATACGTCCCACCAGATCTGTTATTGCGTCAAAACAAACTGGAAAAGATCTGTCTCCGAAACATTTTCCATTGCTGCACCCAATCGTTCTATCTGCCAATGTGCAACGCTGATCGGTTCTTTAAAACATTTCGTTAAATCGAAACTGTAACTGTTTGCGTTAAATCGTGCAAATCGCGAAACAGATGTCCATGGCAGCGTGCCTATCCCAAGCCATCCCCCAGTGGAAGCATACTTTAGTACTTTCATGGCTTATAGAAAAAAATGAAAGTTTTCGCACAAAGATATATACTCGAAATAACTAAAGAACGCCCCACCCTACTACTCAAAGTCAAATAACGGCCTGGGTCTATTCTTCAACGAGTGTACTATATGACGATCAATTCTGCGATAGCTGTCAGCAGCCGAAAGCTCTCGTTCACTAGAAGCCGTGTTTACACATCAAAAAGTTAGTAAACACAATACAAGCAACTGGTACAATTACTCCGGAACTTTCGGACAACTTCAAGTGAAAAATGAATGTTCTCTCCTTTCACAGTAAGATGTGGACTCTTGATCTTTTTGGCGTTGTTGTTCTTTATGAATTCACCCATCACGCCAGCAGAATGAATTCTCTCCCATCCAAGCCGTTTTCAAGAGCATAACACCTGTTTTGGCGACTGATTGAGCGAATAACCGAAATTGACGTTAAGCATGTTTGTTAGTATGTTGTTTTTTTCGTATTTTTTAAGTGAAGTCATTCTTTCTCAATGCTATCTCCGCGATCTTAATGGTCGATGTCGCTTTAATAGTAAGGTTCTCTAATTGTTCTGCATACAGTACTTAGGCACAATACGACGCCTCGCGCTTTGTCCATGCGAGGTATTACAGGGGGTCCTTAGCGAATAGTATTTGACTATCGTCTGGTCGGTCATCCTTCCTTGACAAGTCGGGGACAAGTCACGTGTCAGTTTGGTCACTCCGCGTTTAAAATGGATGGTTCTTAATTGGACACGGTCATGTGAATGGGTATACACCCAGAAGGAAATGGTCACCGTCGAATGAATGAAGATCGTATCAGTTCTGCAGACCGGTCGGGTACAAATTCGAATGTTTGTCCTTTTTCGTGTGCTTTACTAATTATAAGGTCTATGTATCAGTATTTATGGCAGGGATGACAGATGTATCTAACAAATCAATGGGTGTAACTGCATGCAAGGGAAGCCGCTTTCATGATTTGGGGGCATTTTGTTTCTACGTGAGATCATGACGATGAAACATGCCACTAGACCCAAGTCTGAGATGGAGACGGGTCTATACTACACATGTATGTATGTGTGTGCGTCCTTCAACAAACCAACCACTCACTAACTGGTACAATCTGTTTGCTTTGCGCCACTTTCACCTGCTTTCGGGGAAACAGAATTGTGAACTTTTGCAAAGCAATGGACAGGCACGAGCGTCGTTAATCTTACGGCTAAACAATCGCTCCTTACGTGTAGCAAGCAATCCAAAAACACTCACTCACTCACTCACTCACTCACTTCAATGTAATACATTACATCACGTCTCAAGAGCTGGAGAGCTCTGAAAGCGAGTCTGATCTCACCACTTCTCAATTATACAATTCAATAAATTATTATTTTAAATTCAGTCAATTCTAGTTAGTCATTTCTTCCCTGCAAGCTTTGGCTGGACGAGTCTTGTGCGCGTGCTTTCGTATTAGTGCATCGCGTTACCTGGATAGTCGGCGTGGACGGCTGATATGTACGACACCGACCGCATTCTTTTCACGGGCACTCCACGTTTAATACACTCAACAAGAACATCATAACAACCCGTCACGACTTAGAAGTCTCCGAGTGACAATGAATAATCATGCTTAAGTTGTGTCGAGAAGTTCTTTTCATCGACAAAAGGGCGCGCTGACTGGTTGAAGTAGCCAGGGCGTATATACAGTCAAAAATGGCGTCTCTCCTCCTTGCCGAAAAACATACACGCTCTCATTTTGAATGGGGCGCTTTCAGTAGTCAGTGACAACTACTAATGTTTAAAGAGCTTTTCAGCGTACGGCGTATTTGTCGAGGAATCTACGAAACGCTTTTTGCTTGCACCGAGTTACGCCATTCGTAACTAGTAGTTGTTTTCTCTCTTTTTCATCGCGATCCGCTTTTTGTTCAGTTTCCTCTTACTTTGATGCAAAGCAGTTGCGCAAAGTTTGGTGATGGTTTTGTAATGAGATTGGCAATGGCGTTCTAATGGCCATTATGCAAACATGTATTACTGGTCAAACAAAATTAAAGTTAACAAATTTATAATGTAATCCGATCCACAAACAGAGAAACAAACTTCAAGGTACAAATCAAAAGTTGACTTCTGTCCTTAAAAATGTAAGATCATTCATTTGCTAAATTGAATTTCGACATTGACACGTAACGTAAAGCAAACGAACACGGTTTGTAAGGTGACCGTTGCTACTGTACGCGCTACAGCCGTTTCCTTGGCGACGGCGGTATTCAGCCAATGTCTTACATCTACTTGTTGGCTCATTACGTGTTACGGAAGTCAACTGGGCAGCTTCCAAGCCGATGAGTTTCGATCAGAGGATCACGGCCATTATGATGTTACGGCGCTTCATTGTATCTAGCACGCCGCTGTGGAGTTTATATATATAACAAGCAGCCTATCGGCTGAGATAGCTCCGCTGTTAGCAATGCACATTTCAATTAAAGAACAGAAGATATCATTAGAAAATGAACAATACGCATAGTATCAATGCAATGGGACTTGCTGTTTTCAACAAGAATTCAAAAATATCACTTTTTACCAAAAATGACAAAAATATTCACCAAAATTAGATAATTAAAGATATCATTACAAAATGAACAAATCTGAGAGAGGTCTACATGTAGTACCTATATATGTAATAATATCAAAGCAATTGGACTTGTCGTTTTTAACAAGAAGTCGAAAATATCACTTTTTACCAAAAATGACAAAAATATTCACCAAAATTAGAGAATTGACGATATCATAACAAAATGAACAAATATGAGAGTGGTCCACATGTAGTACCTATATATGTAATATCAAAGCAATTGGGCTTGTGGTTTTTAACAAGAAGTCGAAAATATCACTTTTTACCAAAAATGACAAAAATATTCACCAAAATTAGAGAATTAAAGATATCATTACAAAATGAACAAATCCGAGAGTGGTCCACATGTAGTACCTATATATGTAATATCAAAGCAATTGGACTTGCGGTTTTTAACAAGAAGTCGAAAATATCACTTTTTACCAAAAATTACAAAAATATTCACGAAAATTAGAGAATTGAAGACATCATCACAAAATGAACAAATCTGAGAGAGGTCCACATGTAGTACCTATATATGTAATATCAAAGCAATTGGACTTGTGGTTTTTAACAAGAAGTCGAAAATATCACTTTTTACCAAAAATGACAAAAATATTCACCAAAATTAGAGAATTGAAGATATAATCATGAAATGAACAAATCTGAGAGAGGTCTACCCAAGGTACATATACACCAAGTATCAAAGCATTCAGGCTTGTAGTTTTCAAGAAGAAGTCGAAAAAGTAAAACATTGACACGGACGACGGACGACGGACGCCGGACGACGCCGGACAATCACTCATATGATAAGCTCCGCTCGACAAAGTCGACAGCGGAGCTAATAAAACGAAATATAGTTTCTGGAAATTATAGAGTTTCGTCTTAAGTTGTAATGGGTCATTGGTGAAAACCCAGAACATCACATCGTCCAAACCCTGGGGATTTACCCAGTTAATTTCTGGTTACACTTGAAAATGAAAGAAAAAAATCTACACCTTTTACTATACTCTGGTAACAGTATTCATTCTAACTGACCAGTTTGTAACTTTTGACGTCACAAGTCATGCACGTGGATAATGCTGAGCGTGACCAAGGAGAGGAACGGTCGTTTTGAATCGGCCGCTGTATGCCACTTAGCCTATAGTAGTTAACACTAGGCCATTTTCCTTTTCACTTTAAATTACTGTATCAAAACAGAGCTTTCCTAAATTCTAGCGAGAACTTGCGTGATTGCTAGCCTGGGTGGGTTACTCCCATGGTTTAAGTATACGGGTATGCACTGCTGTTTTGATCCCTTTTTTTCACGGGTGGGCCGATATGTTTGACCCCCAATTTTAAGTTTTTCGGCAATTTTAACAACATTTTGGCCATTTTTTGTGTAAACCGCCAATTTTTCAACCGTAAACCGTCCTCAACTTCGTTCTTTTTTGGGTTCATTTTTCAACTGGCTGTGAAGCATCACCAACCAAATCCAGGACAATACAATCCCGCGGTATTGCTACTAGCAGTTTACGAGTATGATTTGATGTGTTATGTCTGTGCTACAGAAGCTCGGAGATACATGCATTAGCAAACTAATTCTGAATAAAAATCATTCCAAGTGATAGAAAATGACTAAGGACACAATCAAAACCAAAATTGCTAAAATATTGAAGCAGGAGCGTCGTCACCTAAGCATGTCGTTGTTTACAAATAAGCGTTTACCCATGAGCCTTTGCGTTTTAGTGTGCGTTGATATCGTTTCATAGGACTAAAATCACAGAAATTACGTCACCAATACTTACTCTGTGGTTCTGATACGCCGTCACTGCCGTGAACTGCGTTTCGGAGAACAGAAAAGTGTTGAAATCCCTTTCTGGGGCATTCTCGGGGTCCTTGCGACCGCTAACATGGACGACGTGAAATCGGGGCTGGTAACGATGCATAGAGTTCAAAATTATCTAAAATAAACACAAAATATACTGTTATTTTTCACTATATTTAATTGCACTGCCGTTCCGTCAGTTGATTAATTATTAACAATTATATTACGATGCACGACCATGTTATTTTTGTTTGATTTTCAAGTTTTTCAACAGCATTTCATCTGCGACAAAATATGGAATAGACGAGCATTTACAAACATGAATTTCAATTAATCGCAGCCGAACAACAAGAACATTAGACATTAGATACAAATAACGTGAAAACAAAACTAAAGCCATGCCATGACACTTTTTTATTTTATTTCGCACATTGACGTCCGTTGTAATCTTTCCACCGATACTCAGAACGTCGCAAACTGAAATCATTGGAAAATATACTGAAAATCACATTGAGAGCAGGGCTGGTTCTTGAGATCTTGCTTTGACCAGGCGATCCAGACAAAGCTAGAGCCAGTGGCGCTGTCCGAATTTAATGATGCGTTTAAAAAGACTGTATTAAATGCTTTGTCGTGATCATGCAGTAAACACGCCGTTAAGTCCCTTTGTTACACCAAAAGCCGTCTCAAGAGTGAAGTCCTTGCAAAAGGAGATGTTCACACTGAGAAAGAGGGTATTGCGAGATTAGTAGTGCATTATTCGGTCCATTACCAAGATTGTATCTGTGATTATGACGTTATTGAGCACTGGTACAAAGTGGTTTGAGCCTCTCCAGGTTGAAGGAGAAGGGATACCATTAACCTTTCAATGAAATATACTAACATATATATTACATGTGTATTTTATTATATGTTATCATACTATAAATGTCTTGAAATGTTATTCAATAAAACTTAAAACTCGAAGTTCACGAAAGTTCCGAGAACGTTTTGTACAAGTCAGAAATTATATGGAATACGAAGCAATGTCACCTTTCTGTTGTCGTGTAAGACGTAAGATGCAATGTCACTTATACATATATACATATGGTTGGTATAATAATTCCTTTAAAGTCAAAACGAAATTTAGAATGTAAAGTTCCGGGTCAATAATCATCGGAGTTTTTAAACGAGAAATCCAATAAATATATATCTAGGCTGTCACGTGCTCACAGTTACGCCCAGAATGCAATGCAAATTAATTTCGACGTTGAATTTAAAAAAAGAAAACAAATTAAAAACAACCTAAATCAGGTGAGGTACACCTCTCGGAAAATAATTGAACACAAACCAAAATGCGCTTTTGGGAGCACGTATGCCCAAATATGGCGTGCTCTCTGTTTGGTGTAGGCCTTCACCTTGAATCCGGTGGATGTCGTCAAACACAGCATTGTCAACAACACACATAATTATTGTTTTTTTTTACCGACCACGTCAACGGCTAAATTAAACAAACACTTGGGGGATTTGTCCGCCATTTTCGGGAGGATAAAGACAAGACAACACAACTCCTTATTTTTCAGCCAATATTAGCTGAAGTTTATATATTCATGTTATAATATTAAACCCCAAAACGGGTTGCAAGTCAATGTGGGATGCTGAGCGAATAGCGTTGAACGAATCGCATCACGGTGCTAAAATTATGCGCACTCACAATTGTATGGTTTTATGTGTTCGTTGCATAAATCATAACTTTTAACACATAATTCCGATTCAATCCGAGAGTGTACAATTGTTATCACCTAAAACAATAGTGTTACTTGATATATTTAATAACCGTGTCGCTTTCTTATATTACAAAGTCGGTTGAAAAACAACGAAAGTATTTGAGTAATGGTAACTTGAAATTTAAATTGTCCTTGTCTGTGTGATTTTTGTGTGTGTGTGTGTGTGTTTTTTTGCACCGAGAATGAATAATTATCATCTACAAACCGTTTCATAAAAACACCAAAAAACACACACAAACGACGAAATCACTGTCCCACTCTTGTTGCAAAATAATTGAAATTGAGATTTGTTTTGTTATTCCATATCGTAATTCAATTATGGAGAAAGTGGACAAATAACAACAACAAAATAACACCGCGACGTCGCTAAAAACGTGTTATTTCGATTTATTAGCGCTGAAATGAATTTCACTAGTGTGAGGTGTTCTTGTTGGAACAGATATTTAACTGGCTAATCTCAGACGCGGTGTTTTCCCCTGGCATGCATGAATGGTGGCTTCACCGACGCTGTTTGTATATACGACCAACCGTTTCCAATTGATACAGCTGAACATGGCACATGTTAACGAATTGATTAAAATGGAAACGACGCAGACCACCCATCCTTCAAGCCACTCGGCACTAAAGCTCTGGGTGTATGACCGAATCAGAGAATGGTGGCAACAATTTGAAAGTACATTATTAAAGCGAGCTACTCCGCCGAGTTCTTCAAATTGACATACAACGGAGATACGGCGTCGCACAGTTGAGTAGTTTTGGTTTCGTTCACCACTGGCAGTATATTAACATAATTTCCACATACTAGTGCCAGAGGCCACGAATTTCAATGTATGTGTGCAAATGTCACAGAAAACAATGAGTGCCACAGAAACCATATTTTCCATGCAATGGCATATATGCTATGACGGAGCCAACTTGAATCACTTAGGTCCGGTCGAACTCACGCACATGCGCGCTTGACCAAGGCTATGATCGCCATGCTAACGGTGGTCTCTGTTTTAACTGTCAATTCCCCCCCCCCCCCAGTCTCTCAGTTACCAATATTTCAACTTCTCAAGTTTAAAAGAATTGAAATGTTATAATCGTCAAAAATGAGTTGTTGACCAACAAGTTCGGGAACTAGAATGTACAAGCTGTCCAATCCTTTTCTAAAACTCGAGTCTTTCAACAATTCGAAATAAGTCTGTTAAGCGACAAAGGACCTTTAAAACACACGATTCCTTTTTATTGACACCAGGGTATGTATCCTTTGTGAAGCCAATCTCAGCAGGAATTATTGAAAATATCATTATTAATGCTGTAAATCTCTGAGATCGTTCCGCGGCATCACCGCGACACATGATGTTAAATGCACTAACTTCACCATAAACACTTTTTTTTTCAAAATGGAACTATTTTGTCCATATTTATTCCATTTATGCACGGAATATAGTACAGTGTTGATAATATAGCAGAAAAAAAACCGTTTAAAAATACGATATCGAATTTTCAATATAGTATGTCCCTGTTTAATGTATCCACATATACTAACGAGTTCGCGAAGAGGGGAATTTCTGAACGGATACAAAACCGGGCGAATGGACGATGTAAGTTAATATGCTGTGAAATTAGATTAATATTACGAAAATCATGAAAATTTACCTTTAAAAAACACAGCAATCCGTATTTTCGAAACCGATCATGAATTTTATTTCAATCCCCATTACCCGCAATGACTTTAAAGTTATGGCGAGTACGACACACAAACAAAAGGATTTGCAACTTATTATGAAATTGTTTGGTATCTGTTTTAAGCGTCTTAGCCGGATATATACGTGGTCACGTGACTTCATGACACCATTGTACATTACGAGAATCTTGAATGTATTCACGAAAATTGTGCGATTTGCATCTCCAAAATGTTAACATGATTAATCAAACTGCAAAGTTGTTATCAATTATATTATACATTAGTATAGTTCCGTGTCAGGGGATGGGACACTGTTGTATGCCGGGTACTTTGTAGCTAGTGTGGTTATATATAGCAGCGATATTCAATAGTATAATTTGTGTAGCCTTTCATTTTTATGTTTATTTAATTAATTGATGTATTTATATATTATGTTGTATTTATTTATTTAATTATTTACTTATTTATTGCATAAATCAGCGATATCGACACATTCAACATGTATGCATTGTTGTTGTTTTGTTTTTCTTCTTGATTTCAGTAATTTGACATCACTGCACTGAGAACTAGTACTAACAGAATCCGTTACAATGGAAACACGTGATATTTGAAAAGGAGGGGACAGACATGTCACGAGCGCCGTGTTAAGTACGATTCTTTTTTTTTTTTTTTTCGTTTTTTTCCGTCGTGACATCCCACCATTACCGGAACGTCTGGCCCAAATTAAACGAAATTTCAAACGATAACACCACCCACACAAAATAACAAATCGAACAACGTTTTTTTAAGGAAAACTGCATTGAAAGAGTAAAATTACCAGCGTATTTAAACTAGGCCAACAAGAATAATAAGAACCACACATTGATACCGGTGGGAACTTTCGAAATCACCTTCGACTGTTACGTTGCTGGCTTTGTCCGCTCTCAGTCATGCGCATAGCGGATGTGGACATTTGCGGGTGTATCGCATGAGGCGGCCATTGTCACGGCCAATGTTTTCAGTGCAAATACGGCTAAGAAAATGTAACAAATTTACCAATTGCTTCCCGCGATAGCGTTTAACGTGAATATATTTCAGAAACCTGGGTGTCCATGTTTGATTTTCGCAAATTTTCGGAGAACAGGATTTCAAGACGGATATATAGCAAGTTGTCATGTGTTGTATATTCACTGAGGACTTGTTACTAATCGGGTACACCATGGGACGTTTGCCAATTCTCTGTCTAGTTTTAATAATACACATTCAAATAAGATGCCGGTTCAATAATATACACTGTATATAAACATGTATTTTCATATTACCTGCTATGTTTCTTGGATTATATTGGTCGAAAAATTATCTCAACGTATCTCTGCGAACATTTCATGTTGATGTGCCATAAAATTATGTCACGATTTGTTTCAGTTTTTCTCCTGAAAATACCTAGTCGACGCTAACCGATTTTTCGAAGAAATTGCAAAATTGTTCTATGTTCTTTTGTTAATTGGACTAAATAAATATAATTTGCAATTTATATCTTCAAGTCTTAATCAAAATTGTTGAAAAAAATTTTTGTAACAAACGTTATTTGTGGCAACAGTTGAATTTAGCGTTGAAATTAGTATAAATTAAAAATTAAATGTATACGTGAACTCAATTCCACTCTGAAAACACTGAATAACACTGTGATATGAGCAAGTTTGCATTTACTTTAATATTTCTGCATAATTATCAGTTGATACTACTATATAAATTATTGGTACGTTTTTATTAAACATTGTACATTGTTCCAATATATTAACGTAGTAACATCAACGTTTGAAGTGTATAAACAAAATTCTAACACACTGACGAGCAATAATAATTGTGACGGGACAAAATTAAATTGGGCATACTTTGAAAAGTTGTTCCCGGGGCATTTTAGATTCATGGAAACTTGAACGCTGTTTTTTTTTTTTTTTTTTCAAAAGGAGATACTTTATGTAGTAGAATTGTTTGATCACCGTGGCGGACTAGTCAACAGTCCTCAAGTACACACTTGTGAACGCTGTTTAGTTTTAAGTTCCCCGACGAGTAATAATATTGCATCACACTCAGGTGGTCGCGTGGGGTGACACCACCACGTTTTCACCAGATAAAACAACGATTTGAACGCATCGGAAGTAACAACTTCAATTCGACTTTAAAAAAAAAAAAACAATTTTATGAATCAATTTATGGATATTGAGTCAAACAATTGGGATTTGTCACGCTTTTAGTAGATTTTGAGAATTATGGTAAATTTTAAAACCTGTTAACCACTGTTTCCTGTGAAAACGACATGTTACGCAATGTCTAAAATTCTACATGGTTATGTGATAAACATGTCAGACTGACTGATAATTTTATCTTGTATAATTTTCAAAATACGCATTTTAAAACTTTTTAAAACAAAATAATAGCAGTGCTTTATTATATGGGAATAGTATCTATTTGCGCACATTGGTTGGTTCGTTCATGGTAGAATACAAGTAATATATATTGCTATGCAGTATTAGTACATTTCAAGGATTCCCCCTCCCTTCGAAGAAAAACTTTGAACTACACTTACGTGTCCATTGTCGTCCAGTAAATTGTTTGTGAGTTTGAGTTTATCGAACGATACGATCTGTTTCATCCAGATTGAACCTCTAGCTGGGGAGTCTGGATGCACATGAATACGCCCAGGCATTTCGGGGTCACCCTGTCCAGCAACCAACCAGCTAGAGCTGTGAAACGCATACCGGTATCTTTTGCTGTCGACCTACGAGTAAAGAAAAAAAATGCAAGATGAAATTGACACATTCGACAATTAATACATAATTATACCATGTTTGAATGTGTCCCAACTCGAAAAGAAAATGCGCCGAAGGGGGCGAGTTGGGCTCAATGATACGCGATATCACACGTCACACTTTATCATATACGACAAAACAATTGGCGTATTGTGCTTGTTTTCAACATTTGCGCTCTTGTTCTGCTGAAATTTCAAGTACTGTGACCAAAAAATGTCGAAATGTGCGTCATTAGAGTGTGCGAGACGCGGTAAGCCTTGATAAGTTTTTGACAAACCAACCAGACAAGTATTCCGTCAGTATTTAGACCTATTGTACGATTTGAAGTGACGCGGATAGTTTACAAAACCATAGTTGCCGGACAGCGCGTTCGATTTTCATGGAAATAAACAATGTTATTACACGCGTCGACATAGGTTGCACGGGCTCCACGTCGAACTGGACGCGCGCGAGGAATAATGGCAAGCACCAAATCTATGATAGTTCTTATGCCCTGTGTTATTACACGTTAACTTTTACAATGAACGCAGTGCGCAGCAACTTGATCATTGAGGGGTGTGTAAATTGCCTAAGAAACCAATCACGTAATATGGGATAGAACATGATAGTACGCTGCAATGCTTCGCGTGAGGTTATTGGTGCATAAAAAGTAAAGGAGTATTTGGGGACGCAATTGATGACAGATAATTTTCCGAAATGGTGCGTAGAATCACAGTCCCTCATTTGTTGAGGGACTGTGGTAGAATACATACATTTGTATAACTATTGGCGTACTAGTAATTCAGTATTTACAAGCTCGCCTCTCTTCGACCCCCATAACTAGCCTAAGTTTAGTTCATTGTACTACAAACACCAGAAACACGAGTATCGCCTTCGAATGCTCCACGAACATCACCAGCGACTCCCCCACCGGGGTACCACTAAATACGTGGAGAGCAGGCTGTCGCATATGAGGCGCCTTCCGAGTGGGCATATGACATCAGTCGGCGGCGATGCTGTGAATTTTATTTATTCGCAGATCACCGCTAGAATATGAACTTTATGGGGGAATCATAGTAGATGTCTGTTTTTGTGTGTGTGTTTTTTTTTAATGAGACAGTAAACTACCATCATATTGATTACGATGTCACAGAAATGGAGTCGAATCAACCACATTTGTACCAGTCAGTGGCAGCATCGGAAAAAGCTTTCGAGTACACAGTATTGGTATGTTAGCGCACATATTTTAATAACATTTTATTAAGTGTTATTATAATATAACACAATCACAAGATCCAGAATTACAGTCACTAAGTCTATGTGACCTGAAGTATTTGTAAATTTTCTCATGGTGTTGCGAAACCCACCAGTTATACAACTCAACGACGTGGACTTACCGGCACAAAATCCATCATCAGTATATACTCTGCCATGGGATCCATTCCTCGGATTTTAACTTGAAACGTTGGGAACATACGTCTAAAAAAATATATATAAACAAATCATAATCAACAATCGGCAACAATACATAATGTAATATCTGAAAATAATATAAAGAAAATGGCGTGACGGTGTCACATGACATGATGTTTTCTCTTAAAGATATAGAAATGTATGTTTTTTATTATAAATTAAAATCATCTACACAATAAGTACCAGAAACTGGAAAAAATAGTTTAAATCTCCCCCATATTAAAACCGTGAGATTGCGCAACAGATATTAAAAATTAACTACATGTGTCATAATATCTGGTTGTAATATGATTTTAGTTCACATGTGATTCACCCCACTGGATGGCGTTGAGTCGACGGGAAATATAAAACGAAACCGTTCGAGTGGACCGTCTATTAGGACGGTGGAGAGTTTTCAATAGAGACAATATAACATCATTACAAACGCATGCTTTGGCATATCGGACACAGTCAGTTTTTATCTGAACTTGTAGATTTGGGGTGTGATGGGTAAAAGTTAAAAAGCAATTACTGTTTGAGAGCGACTTTCAAGTTGACCTAACGTGAGTTAAGCACTTCGACGCCCCCGGCGCCTATATTCGACCAGTTCTAGTTAGCACCGTAATAATTTGTCATTACGAAAAGAAGATGACCATTGCATTACTTGCTACACAGCGCTAAAAATATGCATGTATGATGAATGCGTGGTTGTAAAATATGGACTACACGGTTCATGTAAAAGCCGTAAAAGCTGCCATCAAATGTCGACAAATTATGAAATCTTTTGAAGATTGTTTTTTGTGTTCATTAACTACATGTCTAGTTTTACTAGTTCAAAAGCCAAATACACAGTATACGCACCACGTGTTAATTTAGAATTTGGCAACCGTGCCAATTCTGCTAATGAATATAGCGTATGCAACATACGATACGTTGATGTTGTATTGTACAACGTCACTACTTGTAAGTGCAATACTCTGTAATGCTACGCCGGAACAATGCCAAAGTAGGGTTAGGGATGTTTGCCCGGCGGCTCAAGACGCGCTAAATAGCCTTGACATACGACAACGGTAATTGACTGCGTCTCTTTATCCCCCGAAGTGACGAAAACTGAGCTCGTATCAGAAACTATCCACACAAATAGCTGTGTCAACGACATGCTTAGGAGGCTGTGTCGGTTAATAGGATAAACAGGCTGACAATTTGTGAGGAGAGAAAAGCGATGACATTTTATATGGCAATTAAATGGAAGATAAATGGGATTACTTCCAATTAGATTATGACTCTAAAACAAACAAGGTCGCCGCTACCAATAACGTACCACAACAAGTTTAAGTACGTTGCGGTACATCGGGTATGCCTACAATGTGTTACTGATTTTTCCTGGCCTAGTCCCGTTCATAATCTCATTTATTATGTTCCACACGTTTTCGCATCTTATTTACTGTTGCGTTGCACAACAGTGAGGAGTGGACATTTCCATGAAAATTAAACAAAAGTTGCCGTCACGGAAATATGCGCCATAATCCGTTTTGTCTTCATAATGAAAACGTGTATGAGCGCGTGCGAAGACTTTGATGGCTCGGAGATTGTTCAAATATATGAAATGTACTAGTCGAGGAGTGGGACGCGCGTTTTCAAAATGAAATTCAAATATGTATAGTTTTAATAAATGAAAACATTAGTTATTGTTAAACAAAGAAAAAAATAGGCGGTGAGTCACCTGATGTCGTAACGTGCTAAAACATACTGAACGTTAAATTCACACTAGTGGCAGACACATTGTGAGGATATTGGAGTGGGGCACAATGCTACCATAACATTCACTTTGTTTTGGAAAGCAATAATTATACAATCATTGTTAAATTAAAATGTGTCAGTTTGTCTTGATGTTAGCATTGTGGAATAAGATTCACTTTTTATTTTACCCGAAATGCCCACG